ATATATATATATATATATATATATATATATATATATATATATATATTCTGTCTCACCTGTGGCCATGAGGTGAGAGTCCAAATGTCCAAAGGAAAAAAACACAAACAGACAATATCAGGAACAACAGAGTTAACTTTCCTTTGGCTAAATTCGTCGCTGGCAGTTTTCCCAGAAGCTGTCAGCAAATTCAGTTAACGAGCAGAACTATAAATCAGAGCCGAACGGCAAACAGAAAACTTTTTCCAAACTGCAAATGCAAATAACAAAGTTTGACCCGAACGGGGATTCCAAGCTAACACGCCTCCTTATATTTCCTGAGGGGCGTGTCAGTCTCTTTCCTCAGTCCTTGATTCGACGTCTCCTTCCAGTTTGTGCTTGACGTTTCTGCTTACGTCTGTTCCTTGCATCAAACCAAGATTCTTCGGTTTGATCTTCATTCAAGGACTCTGGCACGTTCTCCTGATTATCTGCCGACACAGGTGTAACTTATGAGGAAGGTCCTGGAGAGGATGAGGATTCCGAAACTTCCAGCAAAGCACCTCCTGCCTCTTGCCTCCATGCATCGAGGAGGTTGAGTGGCCGCCAGCGATGCCCTCAAGGGAAGATGTTGCAAGGGGGAGGCTTGCCCCCAGAAGCTTCTCTTCCTCCTCGCCAGAAGCGCTCACGCACAAAGCGCTCACCGCCCCTCTGGCCCCTGACAAGCCACCTCCTTCCTGCTGAGCATGTGAGCGTTTTTGGCGAGGAGGAAGAGAAGCTCCTGAGGGCAGGGACGTGGGAGATCATGACATCAGAGCTCTTCCCGGGTGTTTCCTGGTCTGCGAGGGGAGGGCGTGATCTCCTGCACACCTCCCAGGAGCTTCTCTTCCTCCTCACCAGAAGCTCTCACACGCAAAGCGCTCACTGCCCCTCTGGCCCCTGACAAGCCCTCTCCTTCCGCTGAGCATTTGAGCACTTCTGGTGAGGGGGTTGAGCCTCCCCCTCGCAACATCTTCACCTGAGGGCAGCTGCTTCCTGCGGCTCAGGAGGTCCGCGCTCTTCCCACTGCTGCTCGGCCTCGATGCACTGTGGCAGGAGGCAGCAGCCATGACATGGGAGACTGCAGGATTTCCCCGCCTCCCCGCAGCCCATCAAAATTTTCTCACGGCCCACCAAAATTTTCTCACGGCCCATCAGTGGGCTGCAGCCCACATGTTGGTGACCGCTGGCCTAGACAGCATCACTTAAAAGTGATTAAAAGTGATTATGTGGGGTGTGGAAATAAAATTTCCATTCATCACCATCTTGGATGTGAAGTAAATTATAAGCATCACTAGGTTGAACTTAGAATAGATACATATCTTTTGCAAATGCTCCAAAAGTTCAGTGATTGAGACAGAGAATATCTATTATAGATGGAGCTCTGGTTGACAGCCTGGATATTGTTGCAATTTTACAGTTTCCATAATTTATGTTTTTACAAACAGAATACCAGCTGGAGCTGATGCAATAGGGGAGTGGATGAATTTTGTTAAGGTTATTGTTTATAAAATCATAAAAGCCCCAATTCCAACTAGATCCGCTTACTTGGGCAGTGATCAGGTCAGTGGGGCAATTATAAGGCCAATTAGATGGTAGCTTATCATCCTCTTGCTTGCTGAAATCATTATAAGCAGTGTTGCAAAAAATTTTGTGCAGGATGTGTAGTTGGTATATGTTCCACATAATTAAAGAAGCTGAAATTTAGACTTGCCTGTGGTCAGAGGTCATAAATTTGTACC